ACTATCCTCTCAATCATAAAATATTGTCTCCGCTTATGTTTTTTGTTTCAAGAAGCCGATGCTTCTCATTTGAAATTTTTCATTTTTTGATTCGCATATAGAAGCTATTTCAGTTGGAATTCATACTTCATTAAATGTTGCTGTTTTTGTTATAATAATAAAAAAATATCAAGTATATGCTATCGTTGTATTCCTTATAGGATGGCACGCAATTTTCGATGACAATATACAGGGAGTGCCATTTGAAGATAAAAAGTGGGGGATAGCTGTCAGAGAAATGTCAAATCCAATAATTTTGTCACGAGAAAGGTACTTCATGCCATTCAATGCAGTTTTTGAATTTTTGAATTATCTTGTCAAATGAGCGAGAAATTGCCTGTATACGATAACTTGGGACACCCGGTATATAACCTGGCAGAGTTAAACAAAATTCCAACACCTACATCCTCTCCCATCCTCCCTATGTGCACCATGTTCTTCGAGCATTATAGGAATTTCCTTCCGTGCGCTCCAAGAGATGAAAAAAGTAAAGGGTAAGCCAGAATGAGAAAAAAAATCGCCTTTCTATTTCTTAGGTATATGAGATGATACAGGTACAATACATACAAAATATGGATAACTATCAAAAGGCAAAAACTTAACTGGTAGTAGGTTCTGTTTAGTGTCATGTATAGAAATCCCGTTAAAGTTATATCGAACCATTATCGAACCGTTCATTTGGTGAGCAGCTTATTTTAGTTGAACTGCTAAGTTAGAAAAATAGCAGGTAATTCGTTTGTGTTGTTATATAACCAGTCAAGGACGTTTATATTTTGGACGATTGGACGTCAGCATATCCAGATGGGTCTGTCTTTATGTAATCTAGCAATTTGCAATTTGTTGGGAGCAAATTGTATTTTAGATTTCTCGAAATGATTATAATCATTAGGATGATTCATCCTAGTTGAAACTGTTTGCTTTTTTTGCTGAATGTGTTCGCTGTAGTAACCTTGACATTCCTGGAAATGTTCATTTCGGATTTTTGTACATACCACAAAAATTGATTCGTTATTGTGAATTATAATAATACAGGGTGGGCCACCAGTAACGCCTCGGTCTCTAGAAGGCTAACCACTCATCTTCTTGGAATTCTTCCTCTCTAGGAAGTTGCATGTCAACATAGGCTACCATTTAAAATTATTTCGAAACATACAGGGTGTCCCCAAAAACCATAAAACACTGAAGTTAAACTTTTTTCTATCGAACACCCTATATATTATTTCATTTTGAGATTCTCCCTGATGAGCTGATTTCAACGACCCATCATACTTGGGGTCTAGCAGTTATAATTACTGAAATATAGGGTGTGAAAAATCGAGATTTTCCAAGTTCAAGAATTTTTTGTGTCGAAACTTTTCATAATTGGTCAAAACGGCTTACATGTCCCTATCTCAACTTTTGATTAACTATCTACTGATATTTAATTGGGACATATACCGGGTGATCAAGATTCTGAATTCTGCACCACCCTGTATTTGTTTCAATTAAATGTCAGTAGATAGTTGATCAAAAGTTGAGATAGGGACATGTGAGCCGTTTTGACCAATTATGAATGGTTTAGACACAAAAAATTCTTGAACTTGGAGAATCTCGATTTCTCACACCCTATATCTCAGTAATTATAACTGCTAGACCCCAAGTATGATGGATTGTTGAAATCAGCTCAATACGGAGAATCTCAAAATGAAATAATATATAGGGTGTTCGATAGAAAAAAGTTTAACTTCAGTGTTTTATGGTTTTTGGGGACACCCTGTATGTTTCGAAATAATTTTAAATGGTAGCCTATGTTGACATGCAACTTCCTAGAGAGGAAGAATTCCAAGAAGATAAGTGGTTAGCTTTCTAGAGACCGAGGCGTTACTGGTGGTCCACCCTGTATATAGGCTGATTCACGGTGGATGGCACATTAGACTCAGCATTATTCTGAATTGATGGTACCTTGGATAATTAGTTGTGTTCTATCGCCCTAAAATATTCTCAGCGTTGCGACGTTGCCGCTTATATTGAAAAGTAGCAACAACTTTGATTTTTTGTATGAGACACCCTGTATATTATTCCATTTTCAGATTCTCCCTGAAGAGTTGATTTCATTGACCTATAACACTTGGGGTCTAGCAGTAATAATTACAGAGTTATGGGATGTGAAAAATCGAGATTTTTAACTTTAGGAATTTTTTTTGTCGAAACTGTTCATAATGGATCAAAACGGTTTCCATGTCCCTATCCCGACATTTTATTCACTATAAATTGATATTTCATTGAAATAAATACAGGGTGGTTCAGAAAAAGGATTTTTGACCACCCTGTATCTATTTCAATTAAATATCAATAATTAGTAGTAGGTACCAATTGAAGTTGAAAAATATCGATTTTTCACACCCTATATCCTCGTTATGATTTCCGCTAGACCCAAAGTGTGATAGATCGATGAAATCAGATCTTCAGGGAGAATCAGAAAATGGAATGATATACAGGGTGTCCCATAAAAAAATGCTATTGTTGCTACTTTTCAACATAAGCGGCAACGTCGCAGCGTTGAGAATATTTCAGGTAGATGGTACCGTTACCCCCGATACTAACATCAGGGGTAACAATAGAACACAACTAATTATCCAAGGAACTAAATTTCCAAAATAATCCTACGTTGCATTCTCCAGTATGAGACGCCCAATGTACCGTGAATCAGCTTGTATACAGGGTGTTTCATAATTGAATGCTGATCCTAAAGGGCGATGATCCTTGGATGATTTCAATGAGAGAAGTTCATATCAACATATGTCCTGAACCTCTTAGTTTTTGAGCTACAGGGTGTCGAAATCAGAAGCGTACAGCGTTGTTTTAAACAAAATATTCAATATCAGGTCTACGAGGACATCACTGGTAAAAGTAAAAGTTTGTTTTTCGTCCCAAAACAAAATGTGTTTCCACTTATAGTGGGTGTCTACTGAATTACCGAAAACAATATCCAAGAACTGAAGGAACAAAATTCTTTGGTTTTTATTTTTTTACGCGAAAACGGTACGATGTATGAAAGTAAGTCTAGGAACCAAATTTGCTCCAAAATGAATGAGAATTGAAAAAAAATCTGGTTCTCAAAAAAATCAGTGGCGTACTATTTTTTTCTTCAAAAATTGTCAGTTCAAACCCCGTACGGACGCCACTGGTGAGAATTTTTAAATATCTTTCACGTAAAAAAATGCTCCTTAATAATGAAAAGGTGTATACAAAATATCACAACAATATCTAAGAGTGATAAAAAATTATGATGAAAAACAAATTTTTTTCTTGAAATTTCATCACCCTGTAGCTCAATAACTAAGAGGTTTAGGACATATGTTGATATGAACTGTTCTCTTTGAAATCATCCAAGGATTATCGCCCTTGGATCAGCATTCAATTATGAAACACCCTGTATAGTAATCAAAAAAGAATATTGATCGAATTGAACTGATTGCGAATACAAATATGAGTATCATTTCAATATGTCACTACGATGGAAATGGCACTATCAGAAAACCCAAGACAGAAATTCAATTAATAGTTGGTGACACCTTGTTTTGAAAAATAGTTGAAGAAGAAAAGGAAAATAGTTTTGAGTTGTTGTAAAATATGAACCTGGATACTCATTTCATATAGTTTCAGATGATTTTTTCCTATACTTATAAAAAAAACAGTTTCCAAAGTAGTTATTAATCAACGCTTGATCAATTTTTTATGGGCTCCATATAATTCCAAATTGAGCTTAATCACTTATACGTAAACCTCGTTTAAATCCCATTTATAACCACCCACAGCTCAAGAGTATATAACATATCATGCGAGACATAATGAATATCTATAATGAAAATGAAGCTATACTAAACATGAAATGATGTACCAAGTGATCAGCTCAAGCCAAAGACTCAATACCCTCGTAAACTATATACAGAAGGTATATCAACTAATAATGTTGAAAATTCGTTATCCATATAAAGAATACTTCAATTTGCAAGGTGTTCTAGTTCTATACTTTTGGTACAATTAAAATTTAATTTTTTTACAATGGAATGATTTACTGTTTCCAATCTGAAAGTTCAAGTTAAATAGGATGTGTGATGTGTATTATGTTATTGAAGGGGGTCCAAACTTTGTATAATTCGACCGAAAAGAAAAACTATTGGCAAAAAATCTTCTTGGTTGTTGAATATTAATATAATATACTGCCACATTCCCTTCAATTCCGGTTTCATTGAATTAGTATTGAAGATTCCTCATTCTCATATCGAAGTTTCCTTACATTGAATATGAAAAAGTATACAAAGACTTCCTCTGCATTTTTCGATTATAGTTTGAAAAAATGTATATTCGAAAATTAAAATGCACTTTTATCAATACGAGGTGTTTTTGCTGAAAAAAATATGACAATGACATCAGTACTTACCTATACTTGAATTCTTTGTGATTTTAATTATTACCTACGATACCAACTTATCAACCATCATATCATACTTATCAAGTGTAATACTATTTCACTATTGTTGTTCTACTTGTACTATTGTATTATCCATATTCATTTTTGTGTTGTTTTGTATTAAATTTAGATATAAGTTTACCCACTTGACTATTCCTATACAATTTCTTGCAATTGTCTACTGGAAAATTGAATAAATGAATAAATAAATACTTGTTTAAATTGGTCGATTTGGTGATATCTCAGATCATCCTGTGAATGGAGATTAATCGAATTTGACTCATATTTCAGTGTAGATTCCATATTGATTCAAAGAGAAACTTGAAATGAATTCGATTTCAATTAAAAAAATGATTATTTTCTGAAAAAAATTCCAAAATCGAATCAGTATTTTCCAAAACATTTGATTCGTAATAAATGGTGAAACATTTTGGTAGACCTCCGATAAAAACTCAAGGTATTTGGTTTCTTCGTTTCTATTTCTACCAATATAAGTACAATTACTCACCATTCCGTTACAAAGGGAAACTGCTACGCTGGAATCGTTATCTCCTCTGATTTTTCCCGTGTAGAAACATCCAGACAGTCTGGGATCGTGCCTGACCTTCTCTGTGTCTCGAAAATGTGTAACAATCTAAAAAAAATACACATAGGCAACATCTTTCAGATACATTTGCAGCACTGACAAGGAATATCCCATTTTCCACAAAAATAATATAATATGGGCATCTCGGAAACTTCAAGAGAAACAGATTCGGTTAAATGGGAGAAAAGTTGCATGAATGTGAAAAAAAATGACTTTTGGAAATGAGAATTATTATTTATTGACATACTCCTGTCATCTGGGTGCATTTGTTTTTGATATTCATCATACAATTTGAAATCAAATCGATCAAGAGCTGCTAGAGATTATCTCTCACTCAGATTCCCATGAAAAGTGATTAGTACGTACTCTGAATCGCCCTGGCCAGCTTGTTCACCCGATGTGACCCCGCCAGACTTTTTTCTCTGGGAACATGTCAAGAAATATGTTTATGACTGAGCCTTCAAAACAGAAGAAGAACTCAGAATACTGGTTCTTGGAGCATTTCAGTGTATAACGCCTGAAATGTTGATTAATGTTCCTGATTCAACATTAAGAAGATGTTGAAAAGGAATATTCTCAGATAAATTATGAACATACAAAAATGGATATATATTTATATAAAGCAATACATTGAGAACTCGCATTCTCTATGTGATGAGAAAATCTACTCTTTTTCAGTTTATTCAATAGAAAACAACTACTTTCCTGGCTATATGCCACGACGAACATTGAATTATATCTATTGAACACACACGATAAGAGTTTGAAAATAAAATATAAAAACTTCTGGAATTGAGAATTTGCATTCTCCTTCAGACGAAAATATCTATATGCACACATCATTCTGAATATTCAACAGAAAACACCTAGTTTCCTGGCTATTTGCCACGTCGAACATTGAATTATATCTGATGAACATTCAAAAGGAGAACATGAAAAATAAAAAATAAAATCCTCCGAAATTGAGAATGCACATTCTTCTTCTTATAGACCTCTAATCGCAGATTCGTGATAGAGTCTCAATTCAGAATTTCTTTCCACGCCCTGTATGATGAATGTCAATTTATCATACACCCAAAAGCATTAAGAAGATGTTATGCATGCTTGGGAAGCAATGGCAATATTTTTGAACATCTCAGTAAATTCATCAGTTTCCTATGTGATAGATTTGCTGTTCAAAGAAGTGTTTTATCTGTGCATCTGTTCATTTATTTACTCTGTTATTTTTTATTGAATTATTGATTCTTCACGAATTATTAAATGCGTATTGCTGTTGATGTAGCATTGTGGAATGTTGAATTTGATAAATGAACTTTTTTCACAGAATCACAAAAAGTTCAGGCCCGCATTCCAAAAATTACTTGATGATATCTGTTACGTAATTTTAGTGCTGATGCGCCACTGGCAGCTTTCATGAGAATAACATACCGTTTGAAAAAGTTGGCAACTTTGAACTTTCATATTCGTAATGAAGCTTTTTTAGAATGAATATTTCCATCTAATATCTTCCATTATGATCTGTTCAAAATATTTTTGAATCGAAATTCAACTTTATGTATGGAATGTCCTGTGTTGTTCAATATTTAAATAATAAGCCCATGGGCGTAGCAGGGATAATTTGCGCTTACCTTGTGGTTAAAAAGCAACATTCAGCTATAGGACACATGCATATTTTCGGCTAAAAATGTTAATAGGCAAAAGTTAGTTACTGGTTCTTTCATAATTTTTATATGAGAAACTTACATGCAGGTTCGGAGCAACAAATTTGTCATTATAATCCAAATCGAGTATCAGTTTTTGTCCAAAAGCCTCGATCTCGTATTGGGGGTGTAGGTCCCAAATTTCCGCTTGCTTGTGTCTGAAATGGCTGCTATGTTGGTGTCTCAAAATTGGCTTTTCTGAAACGAAAAACATGTGACAAAACATCTTCCCGATGTTGCTGCTCTGAACAGCAATTGGCGCAATGGGCGTGTACACCTTGGTAGAACTTTCAACTCAAACCATGTTTATAATGATCCTTCTATACATAAATAATGATTGACGACATAATTCGATCGAAAAATTAACTGGAATGTTTTATTTCTGGACATGAATAATAGTACCTTCTGAAAACGGACCCTCTTATGACGTATAAACCTCATCTCGCCATAGTTAAAAGAAAATACCAAACGCCCGACGGAGACTAAGGCAACTGATATACATATTTTAGTTTACTAGTTTATGGTGTAATCGATAGGTCATTTAAAGCTACTAAATATAATAAATATGATAAGTATGTTATGTTCAGATATACAGTCTAGCCTCGGCTAAAGCAGATCTGAACATATATTCAAATCACGAAGATCGTTATCAAATACTCATTGGTCTATATTTATTCCCCTTCAACAATACACTATAATGTATCTACCTTTATATTTGAATCTTCTGAGAATAAATATTATTATTATTATTATTATTATTAACTGTGATCTCGCGCAAATTCACTCAGTCAGAAATCATGTAACATTCATCTCTGTCTAGAATAGTCTTGTTTCAGTATTAGGGTTTTGACGTCACATCATCGCCTCGTTTTCAGAGGTCCGAAAAATCGGGGATTTCAATAATTTTTTATAAAACGTAGGGGGCTCACAGCAAGAAACGGTTTGCGGTGGTGAGCTAGTTTGGGTGAGTTCTATCGAATCATGAAATACATTTTTTTTTGTGATATAAGCCCATTGAAACTACATTTCTGGATCAAAAGTTTGTAATAAGTCTGCACCACAAATTGTAATGACATCTCATTAATCTCAATGATAGATGAATCAGTTTTCAATAGTGGTTCATTGGCTGCCTCATTGGTAAACCAAAAGGAATTATTTCACAAGTTCCCGTTGATTGACTTACGCACTTGTAAATACATCAATTTGCCAATTTCATTAGCCATATTTATACAGTGAGAGCCACCAAAGAATAGAGCACTTTCATTAAATTCATATTCTGAAGAGTTTTCATGTCTCAAGTTGCTCATGAATTGGATGTTTCAAAAAAGTATTGGTCGATCACAATCATGACAGTTTTTCGAAAATTGTTCTACAAATGGTTTACAAGATTCCATAAAGAGTGGAAGCTAACACAAGCTTTTTTTTCAAGTTTTATCAAAAAATATACTCACCAAGTGTCAACTGCTCGGTTTCATTAGAGGACGGACTTATTTTCAAAGGCTTGACAAACTCCAGAGTATCTGCCTCTATATCTTCCAAATGTGTCTTCTCAATGAATTCTGTAATCAAACAACATGATACAATTTTTTGTAGGGATTAACTAGGTCAACAATATGAAGTATCATTTTTGAGATAACTTAGGTTTTCTCATTCAAAAGAGTCAACGAATCATTCTAATCCTAGTTCTCATATTGTATTTTTTGAAAAATGTTCATAAACATCGATCATTAATGGAATAAATCACACTCTCTGTTGTTTTTTGTTCATTCAATCAGATATCGATCATGATGCAAATTTGCGTTTCTATATGGACCCTTTTTTTAACATTCGTAATGTTTTTTTTTATGTTCTGGTTCCCACGAAAAGGGATATCCTGTAATGTTCAGAGAACATCGTGAGAACCAAGGGAAATAATGTAGGAATTGGTGGTGTTCTTAAATTTCTGGAGGTAATAGGCCTCGGGGAACACCTCCCTTGGCAATGTGGTCCAGAGCCTCGCTGTTCGTTGGATGAACGAGTCTTTGGAAAAAGATGTTCTGCAGGTCTCCAAAGTGACCATGAAGGGGTGCAAAGCCTCAACTCGACGGGTTAATCTCGCGGGGACTGTCGAGGAAGGAACAATTGTTGATATTTCAGAAGAACATCGTCTATGAAAATATCTCAAAAATAGAGCCAGATCGCCAACTTTCCTTCGGTGTTTCAGAGAAGTGAGTGAGTTTGTAAGCGAGGCATCACCCACGAGACGAATTGCCCTTTTTTGGACAGAATCCAATAGTTTCAGGTTATGTTTGGGTGCTGCACTCATGGGAACAGTACTCCAGGACAGGTTGGATCTATGCCTTATAGATCATAAGCCGCTGACTGGAAGTGGAATAGCTCCTGACCCGAAACAGAAAACCAAGTATCAGCAATCGATCTCACGTGAATTTACCAAGAAAGGTTATTGCTGATAGTAATACCAAGCATCGAAATAAATGTCCTCAAAGGTATATGGTTACTCCTGACAAGCTTATGATGGGCACAGTGAGATCGGCTTTCCCAGAGAAAAGGCATGCTTGTGTTTTGTTTGCATTGAAATCTACCAAGATTGTTGCCAACTCCATATTTATGTTGTCAACAATTCCTTCCCCGTTCGTTTCTGATTTGCCTGGCTGGTATTGGAGCCCTGGAAGAGAAGGCGAAGCTGTGTACTGGACATGAAGTTGCTTCCCACAAATCGTTGATATGAAGTAGAAATAGTGTTGGTGCTAGAATTGATTCTTGCGGAACATCAGCATTTATGATGAGAGAGTCAGATGAAACTCCGTCGACCACTACATGGAGAGACCTGTTCGAGAGAAAACTAGCTAGCAGAGAATTTAGCTGGGGAGGCAAGCCATAGGATGGAAGCTTGGCGAGGAGTCCGTGGTGCCAGACTCGATCGAATGCCTTGGAGATATCAAGTGCCACGGCTAAGATTTCACCATATTTTTCAATAGATTGGCTGCCATATATGTGAGACGTAAGCGAGCAGGTCACCAGTTGATATCTGACGGAAGCCATATTGCCTATCGTTGATAATACCTGAATGTTCCAGGTATTTCATGAGCTCGATGTTGATCCATGATCTTTGAAATAATAGATAGCAGTGCGATCGGTCTGTAGTTGCTATAGGTAGGGTCTTTTTGCCTTTTTCAGGAACTGGTTGTACTCTTACATGCGTGCTTTCTCAGTGTTTGGAATATTTAATATTTGCCCTTATTTCAATGCCACCCTGTTTATCCTACTTTCCCAACCGGAAGGATTAGAATTACCTGTGGAAAGGTTCGATCAACCTTCATTCTCGGAAAATAGGCTTATTTTTTTATATATTATACCACAAGTGATAATATTTTGCCGGAAATATTCGGTGATTGGTACGACAGCTTGTTGCCTAGAAATTTCGTGAATGACAATGTTATCAAAACTACGAGCTGTAGGCGAGTAGTTTTGGATCAATGTCATGAGCGAAATTAGAACAGCAAGCTGGAGTATGTCAATCGACGAACATTTCTTGGAAAAATAGTATCACGAGTTGTATTCGTATGACTATTTCATGATTGGATGGGACAATATATATAAGAAATAGGAAACATAATTTAAGTATATTCCAACTCGAACTGCGAAGAAGAACATAACGATAGTAATGAAATACAGAATTTACTTTTTGAGAAATTAACTACCTACTTATAGTTATTCACAAAGTGGAATGTACAATTTTGATAAACAGTATTTTTTTCATTATCTTGGAGATGGTTGCTCTCAAAAGAGTGAATACAATTGCTATCCAATTCAAACAAAATAAATTGAACTTATGTGACATGGAATAATTGAAGAAGATTACTTCAAAAAGGAATTTGAATTCTATTATTGTTGTGTCAGACCGTCAACAAATATGCAAACTTTTTAAATTACACATGAAACGTCCAGCCAGAATAAAATTGTCTCGCCTTTCGTACAAAATATCTCACTAACGCGAATTTTAAGTAAATAAAATAAAGTAGGAACTAAGGTTATTGTCTCGGATTTGAATCCAGAGCAATCTTGACCAGACACGATGTCAAGATTTTATCGCTGATAAACGAGGTTAGTTGGTCACGTGTGGTTCAATTCGGCTTCTGTATTGGTAGAGCAAGCTGAGCAAGTCCGATAAAATTTAATTAACAAAAAATATCGCTAGAATACAGAAGAAACCATGAAAATGGTCGATTCTGATTGGTTCTCGAGATCAAGAGTGGAATAGTCTATGTAAATAGCCATTGCCATTATGCTAGGGTATTTGATACTGGTAAAATTTGTCTCTCTGTGTATTTGCTACTATAGCAATTACAATGATTGAAAAAATCTCATCGTATATTGTTGACATCATCGTCTTGTGTTTTGTCATTTATTCTGATGATATCGAATCGTCGAAAACAAATAAAATAACGCGTGTCTCAATTGTTTTTGGTTGATAACCTCGCTATTAACGTTTTTATGGGATCAGTCACCTCACACTGAATGCACTTTGCTAAGTGCTCGATTTTATTGGTTCTAAACATTCTAATTCGCTGGACTAATTGATGAGCATGTTTTATTTCTTTATTTAATGGTAATCGTCAACTAGAAACGACGGACCATTTCGAGATAACGATAATGAATCGCCTTCAAACACTTTATTTGATTCCTTATTCTATATGGATGAATGCTGAATCGGATCCTGGTCGATAAAATGGTCAATTATCCCTTTTAGGCATGATGAAAGGCATCCAGGGCCGCAATCAGCGGTACACCAGGAAAATATTCAACCAACGTAGGTGATCCATAACTTACAGTGGAGGTGATATAAATCAGGAGGGATGAAAGAACTTACAGTCACAACTCCACCACATAAACAATTTAATAATGACCAACGATCATGGACAACAGGACACGTTTCGAACGATGAATCCCTCATCATCACCAAATTCATGAAAAGAAGGAAATCTGTGAAGAGAAAACAACGCTTTTTTTTATGTTCTGGTTCCCACGAACAGGGATATCCTGTAATGTTCAGATAACATATTGAGAACCAAGGGAAATAAGGTAGGGATTGGTGTTCTTCTTATAATTCTGGAGGTTATATGCCTCGGGGAACACCTGCCTTGGCAATGTGTTCCAGAGCCACGCTGTTCGTTGAATGAACGAGTCTTTGGAGAGAGATGTTCTGCAGATCTCCAAAGTGACCACGAAGGGGTGCGAAGCCTCAACTCGACGGGTTAATCTCGCGGGGACTGCCAAGGAAGGAACAATTGTTGATATTTCAGAAGAGCATCGTCCATGAAAATATCCATAAAATAGAGCCAGATCGCCAACTTGTCTAGGGCGGTCTAGGGTGTTCCAGAGAAGTGAGTGAGTTTGTGAGCGAGGCATCACCCACGAGACGAATTGCCCTTTTTTGGACAGAATCCAACAGTTTCAGGGTATGTTTGGGTGCTGCACTCCAAATATGGGAACAGTATTTCAGGACAGGTCGGATCTGTGCCTTATATAGATCATAAGCAGATGACTGGAAGTGAAATAGCTTCTGGCCCGAAACAGAAAACCAAGTTTTTGGGATGCACTTTTAGCAATTGATCTCACGTCATTTTCCCAAGACAGGTTATTGCCGATAGTAATACCAAGCATCGAAATGAATGTCTTCGAAGGTATGGTTACTCCTGACAAGCTTATGTTGAACATAGTGAGATCGGCTTTTCTAGAGAAAAGGCATGCTTATGTTTTGTTTGCATTGAAATCTACTAAGTTATTGGATCCCTATTCGAGAATTGTTGCGAAGTCCATATTTATGTTGTCAACATTTCTCCCTCGTTCGTTTCTGATTTGCCTGGCTAGAATTGGAGCCCTGGAAGAGAAGGCGGTATGGAGGGTACTATCATCCGCGAAGCTGTGTACTGGACATGAAGTTGCTTCCAACAAATCGTTGATATGGAGTAGAAATAGTGTTGGTGCTAGAATTGATCCTTGCGGAACACCAGCATTTTTTATGAGAGAGTCAGAAGAAACTCCGTCGACCACTACATGGAGAGACCTGTTTGAGAGAAAACTAGCTAATTATAGTAATGAAACACCCTGTATAAATCATCGGCCCAAAATTAGAGCAATAATTGGAGCATCACTCCACTGCCTGCATTAGCAAAAGTCACTCAAGACATTGATAATTATTCATCTTCAGCTTTATGTATGTAAGAACATTAAGTTGATTTCAAAGTAACGTTCAACCGGTGTCTAATTTTAATTTAGTGAAAAAATGAGTTACGATTTGTTTCTACGAACTGAAATCAAAAGTGTTTACGTTCTGTGATTTGTGGGCTTTCGATTTTGTTAATACACATTGTCCAAATAAACATCGGTCATCAATCAACATTGAAAAATGGTTCAGTGAAATAATTGTCTAGTGGTGAAGAACTATTTCGATGTTTTTAACAAAAATTGACATACTTTTGTGCCTTTGCATTCACCTGTATTTGCAATAATATTTCATGATTCAATGATTCCACATTAAATCAAGTAGAATATATTG